AAAAAAGTATCAAATCTACCGAAACCATTTAGACTAATCAGACAAACTCAAACTGTTCATCTAGCTCCTACATATCATCTACAAATCTCTTGTAACATCAATCTAAATCTTCCAGCCAACACCTTTAGACAGAATAATAGCCTAATGATAACAATGCAATTGCCAGTTATATTCACAACCAACACATGTTCCATTGGTGCTATAGTAGATCACCTCGTTCAAATATATGACACAAATGCTCATATTGGATTTCTTACTGAAACATGTCTTACCTCCACCACTTGCAACATTGTAATCAGTCATATCCAAGAGTGTACCAAGTACCTTATATAGTCCTGTGAACGCAACTGCTTATCTGAAATAAGAATACCCAAAAGAGCAGGTGGAGTTATGATAATAGTCAATCCCAACTATACAAATACCATCCAGGAGCTATTCCTCACGCCTGTCATCGTCCAACCCTAGCAAACTACTGAATAAAAAAAGCATACATGGAAACTTTGAAATAGTTATTGCTAGAACTTGCCCATATAGATTACCATGTTAATACTCATGTGTCCTAATGGCTGCCCTTTATATTCCAGAATGCCAACCAAGTTGTCAGAAGAACTCCACCTCGCAGCTTTTATACGCCTTAGAAGATCCAATAGCCCAATAGTCCAGTAACAATCCACCTCTAATTTACACACCTGGTGACTTAAATGGATGTGATGTCAAGCCACTATGCAAGAAGTACCACTTATGGCAAATAAACCATGACCCAACTCAAGTAACAGCATCTATGTATAAAAACACTTGACCAAAAGCCAAATGCATCCAAATACAATCGGAAAAGATTAGAGATACAGTTGCTGCCATTCGAGTACTTGACATGCATAGTATCCTAGCAAACCTTGACTCTGACTCATTTGGAACATTCTCATCTTTCCAGAACGCTATAATTGATGCACAAAATATACAGAAATCCTTTGCTGCATAAAACAACGCCAATGTTTACACAAAGCAGGGTGTTTCATCGATCTTTATGACCAATGAAACACCCTGGCTAATATTATTGCTCGACTTATTGCTATCCGGAAAGCATCTTACTACAGAAATAAATATAAATATGCCAATAGTAGAAATAGTATGTGGTCACATGCCCGCAGACTATCAATACCAATCTGCAGTTTACTGACAGATACTGAGTTTGGTGCAAAACTAAATGTGCAAGTTTCAGATATAGTTTGGCAAGGAATTATTAAGCCAGATTTATCACCTTATTTCAAAACAATTGCCTCTCTGCCAGAAATGCCTATTTTCAGCTTCTCTAATGTCAGTGAACAACTCAAACGCATCAAATTGACACCAGCTGGTCATGACAGCATATCTGGCAAACTACTTTATGCGGCACGTCTTGAACTAGTTTAAGCCCTTGTTATAGTTTTTAACCATTGTATCAACAAATGCATTGCACCATCTGAATGGCTTTATGCAAACATCATATCTATTCCAAAAGTCAATAACCCTTCTCTACCACCTGACTTCTGACCAATCTCTATTATATCTGCAACATGCAAAATAATTTAATGCATCCTTGCAAAACACATTATATCCTATGTTCAAGATAAATTATTGTCAAATAGCCAATTTGGTTTTCTTTCTGGTAGAAATACAATTAATGCCATCATACAAGTAATTGATGACTGGGGATACGCTATTGACTCCAATACCTTAACATTTTATATTCAACAGCAAGCCTACTGAATGTAAAGATGTTTTATCAGGAGTAATACAAGGAAGCATCCTTGGCCCAATTATCTTTTTAATCTATGTACTAGACATAAATGACTGACTCCCAAAGGGCATTATACACAAGAAATATCCAGAAGATATCCTATCTTACATAGCTGGTAATAACTCTTCCCTTCCACAAGAAGTGGCAGATACAAGGATGGTGCAATGATAATAAAATGTTTCTCAACATTGCCAAATGCAAAGTTATTTATATTGGCAGAGGTGAAAAGCAGTATAACATTAAAAAGCAACATTCTTGAAGTTGTAAACTCATACAAATACCTCGGCATCAACCTCAACTCAAGTCTCAATTTTGACTAGCATTGGTCTAGTCTACATAAGAAAATTGCCCCTAATGAGTATCTTTTTAAGCAGCTCCGAATATTTGGTGGATGGTCTCAACCCATGCTTATATCTGTCTACCGTGCTTATTGCCTTAACCACTTTACTTATAATGCAGTTATCCTCATCTCAACGACCAATAAAACTAAATCTAGGATGCAAGTCTTTTAAAATTGCCTTCTAAAAGCTGCTGGTATTGATCCACATGAGGCAAACTACTATGGTATCCTTCCTATTGAAGAACATCTTGATCTCGTATGTCTCAGCACACTTAAACAAATTTCGAACAAACCTAACCATCCAATCACAATTAATCTGCTGCAGATAAAGTGTGATTGGATGGTTAGGTGATTGTTTTTATGCAGTGCATAAAAACAATCACTCACATTCCACTTTTAAATTTAATACCAGATCTGCAAAATCAACAATGTATTTAAACACATATCTACAAAAATTTATCCACCACCTTTGTAATGATGCAAATAAACCTACCCTTTATGTTACCTTAATTCATTCAATAGAATATTCCAAAATATAGTACTATTAGTTTTTTGTAAACTCAAATCAATATTTGTTTCAAGAAAAGAAATTTATCTTTATAGCATAGAGATTTGTCAAAAAAAAGAATAATCTTTCATTATTCTTTTTTTCCTCCTTTTTTTGACAAATCTCTATGCTATAAAGATAAGCAAAACTAGTAAGCAATTGCTGATCTATTTATGCATTAGTAGATGTTTCAAAAATGCGCTCAACAAACAAATGTAAACTTCAACTGTGAAATTAAAAATAAACTAACTACAAACTGGAAAGCGAAACAAAACTAAAAAAAATAAATTAAAAAAATAGACATCTTAATAAATGATAAAATGAATAAAAAATAAAAGCATGAAATTAATATTTTTTATTTTAATTTAAAATGTGTTTCACTACAAAGAATTAAGAAAAAATGGAAGTTTCAAAGTTGATTAATTCAAGCTTAATTACTTCGAAACATAATTATTTAAAAATTTGAAATTTTGATGTTTTTTAATGGCAGGATTAGAATCCTCGATCAATGCCAATATATCAGTTGTATCTCATAAATGACTCAATTAATCAACGTATGCGCTATATCAACTTGATAATGTAGGAAAAAATATTAGCTTTAAACTATTAATTGAAATGTTTTCAAATTAATTAAGTTTAACTATTATTTGAGACGCGTCAAAATTAAAAAAATATATTAGTTTTATGCTTTTATTTTCTCTGGTTTATCCTTTATTTATTTATTATTGATTAACTTTGTTTCTCTTTCTTGTATGTTTGTTTATTTTTAATTTTTTCTTTAAATTAGTTTGTTTTTTTTAGTACATTTTTTAAAAACATGTTAATTATCAATATATGCAAAAAACTATGGCTTAAGTTGTTAGAAAAAAAGTTTTCTCAAGATTTTCATGAAAAGGCTTGTATAAAATTTCTTTCTCTCAATTGTTTGATAATACTGATTTGAAGGGTATGTAGTTAAAAAGTTAAAACAAAAATAAGTACATAAAAATAAATATAATAAGTCATCGATATACAAAGAAACTACAAGAGAAGCAAAAAACCTGAAAGCATCAAAATATTAATGAATGAAAATTAATGTATCCATTTTGATGGAGTATATTTTAACCATAATTAACACCGAGTAGTGGTTCTGAAAAGTACAACAAAAAAAATCAAATTAAACTGATCTTGTCTTAAAAGACAGTAAAGCAGGAACTATTTTTATAGGATTGGTGGAAATTACCTTTTTGAATTTGAACTTTATAAAAATGATTATAAGTGATACAACTGCAATTAATACTGGTAAAAAAAAAGTGGGTGTAGTAACTAGACTACAAAAAAAGTTTGGCGACTGAGTTTGATAATCTGAAGTATGCAGTCATGCATATATATATATATATATATATATATATATATATATATATATATATATATATATATATATATATATATATATATATATATATATATATATATACATAAATATATATATATATATATGTATATAATTTTTTTCTTGCGGAAAAATAATTCTGTACAAGAAAAAAATGCGTAAGAAAAATCTAATTATTTGGATTGTGGTGGTCCAACAATAACTGAATATTAAATGTTACAAAAAATCTTAAAGTAGCAGTGGATGCGCTGACAGGAAATGCATTTTGATGTTAAAAATATATATTTTTAATGTCCTAATTTTAAAGTCACTGAACATCATACTAGATTAGTTGTAGATAGGAGCTTTCAAGTAAGACATCAAATAAGGGTTAGCCTTTGGAAGCTGTATTTATGTATGAAAATACAACCTTTACATAATTGTTACTGATTTTTATATTAAGCAGGTTTATATGCTGCTTTTGATTGCGAATCAAATTAATTAGGTTAAAAACTAGCTCTTATGGTTTCTTATATTTTTTGCCTAGTAAAATTATTCTTGAACATTTTAACTAAATTAATTGTTGATTGTTTAACAATTCAATAAGTTTTAAAATAAAAGTTTGTTAAGAATGTCTACATTAGGTATGCACAATTAAAAAACTTTGAGAGACATTTAGTCTTAATTAAATTAAAAAGTATTCTACATTATTTATTTATTCTACATTCTACATTAAACAATATATGACAAAATATACATCTTGTGAATATAGATATATAACAAAATATACATAATCTTCTGAATATAGACATAGAATATAGACAATTTTTTGCCAGATATGGGAAATTGTTTTTTTTTAAATCTAAAAAATTGTAAAATATTAAACTTATTTTTTTTTTTTTTTTTTGGGCAAATTTGTAAATATTTTATTTTTTAGTTTATATAAAAATGTTTTTTAATATTTTACTTTTTCTGCTTTAATTAGGATTGCATCTTTAACTGACAATTACGAAGATAGTAGCGGTGGGGATGAACTTGATCTTATACAATATTTGCATGTTCCTGTTGAAGGGTTGATAGTTCTCTTTAAAGGTTATTTTTTTATTTTATTTTAGATTTTCAAATTTTTAGATTTTGTTTTTACTAAATATTATAACTTTTATCATCATTTTTATTTTTATTTATTCTTAACATATATTTCATTGAAGCTCTTAGTTTTATTTTATAGCTCTAGTTTGAAACTCGCTTACTTAAACTATAAGCATAAAAAAAAGTGACATTAACTGGGATTACTTATTTATTTCAATATATATTTTTTTATGTTTTATTTATATATAAATTGATTCTAAAGATGAAATTTAGAAATGTTCTGTACTCAGATTTACTTTTTTCAAAATATTGCTTTCAACTTTTATTTTTAATTTTTAGGCTGTTCAATCCCCATGATGAGAGTACTTTGACCAATAAACAAATTAATATACCTTAATGTGTAAAACTGATCTATATTAATAATATAGATCAGTTTAAAAATAGATAAAAAAAAACACCATCAGTTGGTATTTTTATATAAATACCAACTTAAGGTGTTACTTTGGGAGAGTTGTATCAACTTATAAATATAGTTTTACCATACTTATGAAATGCTTTTTATTTGATAGTACTGTAATAATATACAAAAATAATAAACAACAAAACAAGTAGATAGAAAATGCCGGTTCGGGGACATTTTTCATTTTCAACCATATTTTCAATCATATATTTAATTAAATATATGATTCATTATCATTCATAGTGTGTATAAGTTATATAACTAAGAAATAATTTTTTAGGTCGCTTCGTGACCAATGCTACGCTAAAAAATTAGTATCAATTTCGTTTCTATTGCGTGACGTCACAGGTCACGTGATTTTCAGATTGATCTTATGCATAGTAGAAGCATTGTCCTATAAGTGCAGCATAACTCCCAGATTGTCCAACTTGTGCATCACCAGAGTTGAGTGTCACTACCATTCTTCTACCACTACTAACGCTAGGCATACTTTCAGATGAATTAAAGTTTCTATAAAATGAAATTGTAGTTGTTGGACCAATTGTACTAGTTGATTGATTCAACAATCCTGATACTTCATTATTAAATGAGCTTACATTAGATCCATTACATGAAGAGAGATAAAAATCTTCTAAACCTGATGAAGCATAGATACATCGACTATTAACATCATATCCAGAAAATGTAGTATATCCATTATTATTATAAGGTGTCCAAGGTTGAATGACAGAGTTAGTATTGTTAGGAGCACCATATCCATCATAGATGCGAACTCTAGATTCCCACCAGTTTCCAGATCCTCCAATAACATGCATTCTAATGTATTTCAAATACACTCCGTTTCCATTATCCATAACATTCATTAGCATATATTCACTACCATAAGTTGTATTTACATATCTAAATGTTGTTGAGTACATTTTAATGGATGAGATGGATCGAGGTATTAACGGATTAATACTAGTTAATGTTTGTTGTAACGATGAAGTTCTTGTGATAAAAGGTTGTAACCAAAAGGTCACTGAATTTCCTGTTTTATTGTATAATTGTATATTCAAACTTGATGTAAAAGGAAGATCAAATGTAAAATATCCTCCTAATGCACTTGTACTAAATACATTACATCCTTGTAAAGAGTTTGCATAATAGGATCCACCAAGTGGTGCAATTAATAAATCACAAGCTAAAGCTGTATTATTAATACCTACCCCATCTGTTACAATAGAATCATTACCTATGCAAAGTACATTGTCAGCATATATTTTTAAAAACAAGTTACCTGGTACAGTATTAGGTGCAATAGTAGATCCTGTAAATGCAATCCACAGTTTTCTTAGAATTCCTGAACTACCACTATAGCTAAAAATAGTATATGATCCTGGAGTTGCATAGAATGCTTGAGATTTTTGTCCAAAGCATATTAAACTTGTATTGGGAATGATATCTAAACTTTGATTTTGCATATCGTCAACATAGCTCTTTGTAACTGCATCTTGTGCATCAGTAGGATTAGCTACATTGATGAGTTTATTTGTATTTAAATTTATATTAGCAGTTGCAGGATTATAACCATCAGTTCTTAGATACATACTGCTAGAAATCTGATTATTATCTACATAATGCTTTGTAGCTGCATCTTGTGCATCAGTAGGATCAACTACATTAATCAATTTATGTGAATTCAAATTTATATTAGCACTCATACTATTAGTTCCATCTAGTTTTAGACATGCACTGCTAGAAATCTGATTATTATCTACATAATGCTTTGTAGCTGCATCCTGTGCATTAGTAGGATCAACTAAATTTATTATTTTATGTGTATTTATATCAACGTCTGAAGTCGCTTTATTGTCTACATTAATATTTAGATTTAAACTGCCACCTGATGTGCTACCAAAAGCAGATAATCCATTCATTGAACTACTACCGAATATATTAATACTCATTTTATATACTCATTATTATTATTTAATTTATTTTTATAACATATCTAAGATTCACCAAAGTGAATTAATGATGCTTTGAAATTCTTTTCCATCATTTAGTTTTTTCAAGACATAGAGACACAAGTGCCCGCAATAGGAAGTATTTCCAAACTGAACTTGTTCAGTATTGTAGTAAACAGGACTGTGTAAATATTGAACAAGTTCAACTGGAGGTGGTAGACCATAAGAGTCGAAACTTAGTTTCATATCTCCGTTTTTATACCAGCAAATCCAATGAAATCCACCTGTACTTGAATCTCCAGTATTTAATATTCCACATTCTTTTTTTTGTGTATTTTTAGGTAATTCATCTCTTACAAATACACCTCTAAAATTTTTTATTTTTAATTTTTTTGCTGCTTCTATTAACTGAAAATTTGTTAATGGTACATTTGGTAATATGATTCCTTCAACATTGATTCTTTTATTCATTTTTATTAATAGTTTTAGATTTTTTTATAAAAAAATCAAGACTTTGTTAGATTTTTTAAAATCATTTTTTAAAATTACTTACCTGCCTGCTTGTTTATTTTAATTTATAATGTCCGTATGCTAGGGTATGAATTCCATCATCTAAAATAACTCTTTTATCATCTTCTGCACTGAGTGCTATTTTGTTTATTTCTTCTGTATATATATCATGACAATGAGATCTTATAACATTCATTTTTCTCATCTGATCTTTTCTATTCATAAGGCAATCTTTATAATCTTCATGTGTTATATAATTTTTAACTACATTTTTCTTTACTCCCTTACATCTCTTTTTATCTTCTCCATCTATTTTGAAAGAGTACAATTTTGATCTAAGTCCTATAAACTCTTCAATTTGTTTTCCTGCAGATTCATCTTTAAACATTCCCAATACTTTCTTATTTGTTCCTACTTTAAATCCATTTTTAACAGCTGGATGATTTTTTTCAAATTCACTTGTATCAAATTTACTTTCAATGTCATTTACAATATCTACATAAAAGTCTTCTGTTTTTATTTCATAGACTAAAGAGTCTGTGTCTGTGAATAACAGTTTAGCTCTATCACCATATTTATTTTTTATGTAATCGTAATGAAATTCATACATGAGTGTTTTACTCAAATCTAAAATACACATACCCAAGTAAATAGGTTTGTTATAAACTAGTTTTGTTCTTTTCATATGAATAGCTATTAAATTTTCATCAAATATAGTCCTACTTTCATAGTTGGGCTTTGATGCTAATTTAATAGCTTCTTCTCTTTTAGTGACTAATCTCACATCAACTCTGTTTTCAATGTTTTCCATTGTTTTTCCAAACACTGAGTTATTCATTAGTTTAAAAAAGTCTTTTTCAAAATCATTTGTTGCTTTTGTTCTTAGATCTGTATTGAGTTTAATGTACTTACTTAGCCATGCACTTTCTTTAAACTTTATTCCTCTATGAATTTTAGTCAATTTTAATCCTAATCTTTCATACAATTTCAAATTTTCATAATGAATGATATAATTTTTTTTATGATTTAAATTAGATACTAATTTTTCAACTTTGTTTATTTTTAATCTTTCAGGAGCAAGTGGATAATCATTATGCAAATCATGTAAGTGTTCAGGATATTCTAAATCTACTTCTAATATGCAAGAAGTAGATTTCCAATTTTCTATTTCTTTTTCATTCATCCATTTAAACCCATGTGTAGGAAGGGGTTTGCTCATTGCCCATCCGTATAAATTGTTAGCATCTAAATATTGTATGTAAGTAGATTCTTTACTTTTATCATAATTTTCCATATACTTATTATTAGCAACTCCCAACCTGTTAGAAATTGTGCTAATTCCACCTCTTATTCCTTCCTTTATCATAAGAATCATATCATAATCACTTAATAATTCTAATTGTACTTTTGTTTCTTTCAAAGCAGCATCCCAAGCTAATCCTGGTGAAGTATAGTACCAAGCAGGATCTAATTTATAATTTTTTATACATACATCTCTAAAATTTTCAAAGACATCAGCTAGTAATAATACATCAGATTCGTTATATAAATTATGATAGTCTCTAAATGTTTTACATTGAAACTCTTCCCATACAGTTTGAGCATGTAAATAATCTTCATCACTTATTCCTTCATCGTTTAGTCTTGAATAAAATGATTCTTTTGGTGGTAATTGTGTTTCATTTAATTTATCAATAGAGTCAACCCATTCATAAGGATAAACACCTTTTCTTAATAATAAATTGAGTTCATTTCCAGAATAGTATCTACTAACATTCTTACATTGCTCCTTTGTTAGATTTTTAGTTAAACTATCTAAACTAGAAGCCATAAATCTAAAACTATCAAGAAAACGTAGTTGTAGTTTAACTTCAATAACTTTATTTTCTTTATTCGTAAATTCATTTACTTTAAGTTCTTTAGAAAAGCTGATATACTTTTCTTCATTGTTAGGAATGCAATTTATTTTACCTGACAATTTCTTTATGAACAAGTGAGAATCATAATTAGATAAATTGTGAAATAAGATTGGAATGAATTTTGGAATTTTAAATTGCAAATTACAATCACTATGTGCAGCACCT